CCTTGTGTTCTAAGTGACTTTTAGATGTTCTCCTATCAGATATTTGCTTCACCTGTTTTTATTACATATGCCAAAGACTAACAAAATTCTATAGTATTAAAGTACTGGTCTCTGACAGTATCTCTGGTCACTACAATAAGAGAACCTAATAATACAACTAGATTTCAGTGAAAGCATGCCATGATACTTTTGGGGAAAGGATGGAAACATGAGCTGGACAACCAATTTCAAAGAGAGGCAATTAACAGATTTAGATCAGGCAAACACCCTACAGTGTGCTTATCAAAAATGTAGCCACTGTCGTAAATGCTGGAAGGACTACAAATTTAACAACTGCTTTGAAAAACTATATAGACAGTGTCTACTAAACTAAATATATAAATATTTATTTTGAATACTTGTCTCCTAATATTGATATATTTATATATACATATATATTTATATATATACATAAATCTTTAAAGTCTTATTAAAGGTATGATCAAGAATGTTCATACACCTACATACAGATAGAGAGAAAAGATAGAAAAGAAAAACATCCAAATAGTAATCATCAGTATAAGAGAGAAAATGTACTTAATTTAGAAAACATCATAGTGAGTTGGGGGTGTAGTTCAGTATTAGAGCATTGCCTACCATGCGTTGGTCCTGGGTTCAAACTCGTATGTGTATTTTTATAAGTAGAAAAAAGAAATCACTGATATTTGCAACATGAATAAATCTTCAAGAATAACATTAACAAAATGACCCAGACAAAAGTACTATATGACTCTACGTGGAACTCAAAAGCAGGCAAAACTCATTTCAAATAAAAATATAACTGTTCTGAGGAGGCAAAACCGAACCAATTCTAGTAACTTCTGAACACAGTACTTTCACTAAATAGCTTATGTTTAAAAACATAAAGAAGGAGTACATTTTTCTCAAGATTGCTTGAATCTTTTCTGGGATTGCATTCTTAATCTCAAATAATATGTTCTTTGTTGCTGAAAAAGTTAAAACCCAAAAAGAACTACAAAAAAATCTTTAATTTCTTAGTAGGGTTTTTTCTTTCAGACTATACACATGCCAATTCTGAAAGTATTTTGCATATATTGTACAGCTATGCAAATGAGGAAAAAATTAATGTTGTCAGGAGCTAGAACTTTCACTATGGATGAGAGAAAAACAAATACTGAATGAGGAACACCAAAGAGGAATCCTGTAGAAACTGGATTAAAATTAAAGGTATCAGTATGAATTTACAGTCTGTGTCTGTCTCTCTTTGTCTCACACAATTAAACTGTCTAGAAGCAATGACACTCCAACAGTTCACTTAGTGTACAAATCTCGGCTTTGAAATACTATTCAACTAAGAGCAATCATAGATTACTGGAGAAATGGTTCCAGGGTTGGAACAAGGAAAGAAAAACCGAAGCCTGAAACAACTATATATGCCAGGCAGTAGGGAAGTGATAAAAGAATAATAGGACAAAAAACAAGATCCACCTTCAGGGGGTCCCACCAAGTAAATCAAGGGAGAATCTGAGCATCAAAGTTAGTAACACTAGCTACCTGGGAGGCTGAGGCAAGAAGATGGCAAGGCTGAGGTCAGCCTATGCAACTTAATCTCAAAAAGACCTGGGGCTGGGAGTATATTCATTGGTAGACTGTGTGCCTAGCATGTGTGAAGTCCTGGGTTCACTCCCTGGTTCCACACATACAAAAGAACAACAACAGTCGGTTTATAGCCCACTCAACAAAATCCATGAATATCCAGTGTATATTAAACATGGGAGCAGGAAAGGTTCTTCTTTATAGTAGGACATCAAAGATACTAAATGGAAAAGTAATGATTGGCTTAGCAAACAGTTTTGCAACTATTGCAATAATAATCATTTCAAGTAAGACTTATTACTGCATCTTAAAACTACTGAGCAAATCTGAAGAGGAACAAGACATTCATGTAATCTCAAAGTATCTTCACAGATTTCTTTTTCTTTCCTTTTTTCTTATTTCAGTACTGGGGATTAAATCCACAGAGAGCTGAGTTACACTCTCTCTCCCCTTTTTTGGGGGAACAGAGTCTTGCTAAGTTGCACAGGCTGTTTTTCAACTTGAGATCTTCCTGCCTTAGCCTCCCAAGGACCAGAGACTACAGGTATATGCCACTATGCCCAGATTACTTCTTAATTATAAAGAAATAAATGCTAATTTTACAGGACAGAAAGGCAATAGATACCACCTCACACAAGAGATCTACGTTCGTATCACTAATAATGAGAGAAACTGACATCAGGTACATCATTTAGTTTTACTGTTGAAAGGGCATATGAGAAATCTAATCATGAGCAAAATCAGATAAAATCGAGGAACATAATAAAAAAAACAACTGCCCTATAAAGACAAACTATTTCAGATTAAAGAAGGCAAAGGAACATGACAATTAAATGCAATACGTGACCCTGTACTGGACCCTGGATCAAAGCTGCCAGAAAACATATCATCAAGACAACTGCAGAAATATGAAGACGCTCCACAGTGGGTTGTGGGGAGAAAGACAGAGGGAGAGGGAGAAGGGGAGGGAGAAAAAGAACATATGGAGATGCATACAAATGTAGCAAAACAGTCTATGTCTAGGAAAGGGATTTGGAGAGTTCTGTACATTATTCTTGCAACTCTTCCATAATTTTGGAATTATTCCAAAATAAAAGATTAAAAAATTAAATAAGCAAAATTAATCTATGGTGAGCATTTACAAGTGGTCATCTTTGGGTAAGAATATTTAGAAGGCTTACTAGAGGTGCCCATTTTGGGTGATTACATGTGTGTACACATTAAGTTAGAAACTTAAGATTTGTCCATTTTACTGTAAGGGAGCTGCATTTCAACCAGAAGAAAAAAAAATTCTTTACAAGGTAGCCTGCCTGCTTGTCTTCATTCTTTCCTTCCTTCCTTCCTCCTTTCCCTTCCCTTTTCCTTGCTTCCTTCCTTCCTTACTAATTCAGTCCAAAAGCCAACACGGAGAGGGTGTCGAAGCATCAGAGCCCACGTGAGGATGGTGGCTAGGCAGGGGCAGCAGAGGCCCAGCGGGAGCTCGGAGCATCGCTGGGCAGCTACGGCCTAGCAGGCAGTCTGCACGTGCAAGGAAGAGCACCCAGCAGGACTACGGCAGAGAAGACTGGTTTCTCACAAGGAATCAGGCAAATATACCAGTATTCTGAGGATAATAGGATTAAGTTTTTCACTGTCAAGTGTATTATAATAGAGGGGGCTGTAGGAAAACATGCAATATTGGTTATAATTAAAGATATTGGTGTTAACTCATGATTTTCAAGCTAGGTAGGTAACAGATATAAATAAATAAATATATATATAAACTATAAGTGTACATATATATCATAAATGTGCACATATATACCATTATACATGTGTTCCAGCTTTGTCCACTGAGAGGAAATGGGAGCACTAACCCCCAATGCAATAAACACCCAGAGTTGAGATTTAATGGGCCATCCACCACTGAAAAGTTCCAGGGCTTCTCAGAGAGATGACCGATCAGGCAAGGAGGAGAGGTGATGAACATGAAGCCTCCAGTGTCACAGAGTAAAGTACTCAAAGAATGATGAGGGCATGTCAAAGGACCCACAAGCCACTGTGGAGGGGTCCCTACTGGCTAAATATGAGGACAGTTTGAGCACTAAACTAACAATATTAACGTCCTGGTAGGCTACAGGGTTGGGCCCTTCTCTTCCTGTGTGAATCTGTGATTAAGAAGGAGGCATCTAGTGGAAACTTCAAGGGATCTGGTTCTCAGTTTGAGCTATTTAAACTTCTGGTCAAGCCAGGTAAAAACAAGGTTTAGCTCTTAAGTGCATAGCACTCACAAATACTGGAAGAAGCAGCCAGTGCACTAAACGTGATGCTCTGGATTCAAACAAATGAACAAAAAGAAGCTAACAGGTGACACTCTACAATGTAAACTCCTACATTCGGGTTCAAAAAATAACTTGCAGAGATGCAGGATTGGCTAGAAATGATTAATTAATTATTTCTTGGGAAGGGGGGGAGATAGAGAGAGAGAGAGAGAGAGAGAGAGAGAGAGAGAGAGAGAAGACCTATGCTTGCAATTTAAGTCAGCAATGTGACATAGCCCACAAAAACAACCAGCACTCTCTCTGCTCCGTCACACCACATTTTGAGTACTGTGGTCAGTTCTGGACTCCCTCTGACATTTTATGATTCTAATTTTAAGGGATAACCAGATTGAAGTAACCAGAAGTGTAAGCTACAAGGGATGACCAAAATATATGGTGAATGTTTAAATTTTAAAATTTTATTAAATCCCACATTCTTATTAGTCTCACTTAAAATACCTCCCACCCCCTCCCCCACATACTTGCCACACACTCATCCCATCATTTTTGTCACTTTCAGAAGCAGTTCTGGAAGTCCTCATCCATGAGTGTCTTTACGAGGTATAATAAAAATACAGTGAACACTGCTGCTGAGTGACATTCACCAGAAAGGCAGGTTCCTAAGAATATCATCATGTATCCTCATCTACTTTATTCACAGGGTCTGACACCGCATGACTTCTGCACCTTCACAAGTAGTCAAAATGACCATGAAAAGTAAATGTTTTAAATTGATTCAAGCTTTCAGGTAGCCACAACAATGAAACTAATAACACCAACGAAGACTTGAACTGTTTTAAAAATGGCAAGAAACATGGAATAAGTATGTTTGGATTCCTAATCTAAAAATCCAAAATAATATGAGATCTTGGAGTTTAGGATTGTGGACTTTTACACTAAAGATAGTCAACCAGGAGAATCTATGCAAATACCCAAAATATAATAACAAAAAACCCAAAACACTTTTGGCCCCAAGCATTTTAGACAAGGGATATTCAACCCGTAACTGCTATTGTCTGAAAGCACTGAGTTGTGAGTTATGTATTATACAGCATTACTGTGGTAGCAGGTGACTAACCAAACACCAACTAAAATTCGTCTAACACTAAACCATTTCCAGAGTGTCAAGCCCTCCAGTCACAGCCAACAGGAATATATGTGCAGCTGAACAAGTTGGGTTTATTACTTGTTTCTATGAAGGAGGAGGCACACTCCAGGGAACCATGTGGCCACTCAGTAAGAAGGTACAGTCGCCTCCCCCTAGCCCTAAGGGACTGGTTCCAGGACCCTGCTCAGACACCAAGAGCTGTGGATGCTCACGTGTAGCATTTGCATCTCACCTACCTACATCCTCCCATCTACTTTAAATCATCTCTAGATGACTTGTAATACCTAATCCAATGTAAATGTTATGTAAATAGTTGTACTGTATTGTTCGGGGGGGGGGAAATGCCAAAGGAAAATATCTTTACATGTTTTAGTACAAATGCAAATTTTTCCCCAAATATTTTCAATCCATGGTGGGTTGAATTCACAGATGAAATTACAATGCAGACATGGCTAAGCGTATTGTGTATCAAGCACAAGACACTGAGTGTGATCCCATGTCACCAAACAAATTAAAAATACAGAGAACCAGTGGATGCAGAGAGCCGACTACACTAGAAAGGCCTAGGCCTAAGGACACTTGTATTTCCATTGTGTGGCACTAGGAGGAGTCTGTAAAGTGGAGGTGTCCTGTAAACTAGGTTCTGTCAGAAAGTGGAGACCATTTTGGTGTTATAATTTGGGTCTTGAATGTTTTCTAAAGGCTCGTGTGCAGAAGGATTGGTCCTCACCTATGGTACCATTGGGAGGGAGCGGAGTCTCTGAGGCATGGCCTAGTGCAGAGAGGTTAGGTCAGTGGAAGACCCTGGAAACAGATAGTGGGACCTGGCCTGCGCCCACCTCCATTCATTCTCTCTCTCTCTCTCTCTCTCTCTCTCTCTCTCTCTCTTCCTGTCTGCCTACCTATCGATCTACCCAACTCTCTTCTCTCCTCTTCTTTCTCCTTTCTTCCCTCTCACGCTCTTGCCCCCTCCTGGGCCTTCTCCATAATGCTGTTTTGTGCCACCATAGATCCAACACAACAGGAAAAATAACCAAGAACCGAAACTTCTGACAGTGTGAGCCAAAATAAACCTTTTCTCCTTATAAGCTACCTCAGGTATTTTGTCACAATTGCAGAAAGCTGACTCACACAGCCCATGTTGCTGTTAACCTCACCCATAAGACTGAAATGAAGTTACAGCTGTAACTGGTAATGCCACAGTTGTCACTCATTAGTCACTCATAAAGTAGGAGAGAAGCATGTTTGGTATTTTGTGGCTCGGACAATCTTCATGTTTTGTCTGTGTTCAGACCTGATTCCAGCGTGGTGGTCTTGGTTTGCATCGATCTCCCATGGTCAGAATGGCCAGTCCGATGCTGATGACCCATGAAACAGTTCACATTCAACAGGACAACATCAAGGCCTGGCTCTGAGTGCCAGATTGGCTCACAGCAACACCTGGGTCCAGCAGCTGATCGTGCCAGGCCAGCCTCCAGATGTCAGGGGATACTTTTTTCTTTTTCATCTACATAGTATCTTATGTGATCCACAAAACAGCCCCTGGAATAGGTTTTATGATTTTTGTGTTATAAATAAGAAAATTAGGCCCGTGAACTTTTAACAGCCTGGTGCAAGGTCTAACACTTGTAAGTCATCTGACTCTGAACATGAGGGCTGTGTTTTCTGAGCCTTCGCTTCTTCACTGAAAAATGGGCACAGTAATATTTGCCTGTCAGGATTGCAAAGATTAAATGAAATTAAGTACACTAAAGAACACAACCTCACTCCTAATACTTAGAAGTACTTCAAAACATGGTACTACTTCACTTCCCTTATATCCCCACTCTTTTTATATTACAGGGCCTCTGGAAAACATCTTTATATGCAGTCAATATCAAAGTAATTTTCATTGTTGTGATTTTTAAATATGGCCTCTCTTCAGGAAGAATCTCCTATAATGGGGCTATTTGGTATTTCTGGAGGTTCCACAGCTGGCCAGCTCTGTGCAGGCCACTGCTCTTCAGGGCAGAAAGATCTTCTGCTTATGCTCCCAGACAATGAAGCTAAATGGGCAGAGATGTATGGGTGGACCAGCTTTTAGATCAGAAGCCTGAACACAAAATCTCAAAATATTAAAATTTGTGGGATTAACTGTGGCTCAAACTAATGTTCCCCTAGCAAGAAACATACAGGCATACAGACTAAGGGCAGAACTCAATCTCCTCCTCAATCTCTGCCACCCTGAGGGAGTACACCCAAGAAATGGTGAGTTAGTTCCAGCCTTAGCTCTTGCCTGGAATTCTACAGCAGCTTTCTGGGTTCCCTTATCCCCTCGAGTCTCTCCCTTATTCTGCCAAAATTCTTGCTTAAGTAAAGTGAGTTATTTTGTTCTCCACTACAGGCCTAAATTCCTGTCTGGCATTTAACAACCTTTGTGGTCTGGATCCAATGCAGTTCTCTTGTCTCTCTCCTCATTAGACTCAGCCTCAAATACCTGCATTATAAGATCCCCATACACATATCTGACCATCCTACTATGCCACCTCAACACATCGACTCACGTCATGTTCTCCTTTCAGTGTAACCTTGTATTCTTGGGTAGAAGGGACAGAGAAGTGTTGGGAGCCGCAGCCCCGAGCCCGGTCGCCTCACTTGGCGGACGTGAGGCCTGTAGTAAAGAGTAAAGCCTGAGGTAGATTACCCCTCCCATCGAGCACGTTAGTTTCCTGCTTACCGCGTAAGCAACCCGCTCAACAATATAGTCTGCCTGGCAACTGATGATGTTAGCCAATCAGCTTGCCTTGCTTACTTTAACATGATTGGACACTGTATCCGTATATATACTGGTGCCACCCCTGGGGGGGAAGAAGAAGCCCGGAAGTAGAAGCCCAGAAGGAGCCGCGGGGAGCGGACCAAAGGAGGCTTCGGCTGGGAGCGATCCCAGGGCAGGCTGTACGGAGAAGGAAAATAAAAGAAAAGGTTGTCCACTGCCAGACTTTGTCGTGTGTCCTTCCTGCCGGCCAGGAGCGACATCGACATTTGGAGGCCCGCACGGGGACTGATCACCCCCGAGACGTGACAGCGGACAACGCTCCAGTACAGAGCTGCGAGACAGGTGAGTTGGGGATAAGCCTGGGCTCTGGGTGGCGCGCACCTACAGGGCTTTTAGACTCCCCTCAGGCTCACGCGTAAGTGGCGGATTCCTTGGGCCTCACGCGGTGAGTAACATATTAAAAGATGGGAAACATGCTAGGTAGCAACACTAAGAGCGAGGGTGGTTGTGGAGAAAGCTCTCAAGAGCTTACAAAAGTACGCAGGGTATTTGAGCAGGCCCAGTCGGGGAGCTCCCGAGAGGGGCCCGTCAAGGGGAACAAAGATGCTAAGGAGAAGGACGGGGCTCTAGCCTCGGAGTCGTCTGACTCCGAGGACGAGGGAAAGTTGAATGGCAAGGAGGCCAAAGAGACCAGCTGTCAGGAGCCTAAGTCGCTCGATAAGGAGTCGCAGGGTTCCTTCCCAGCGTTGCGCCGTGAATTGCGCTCCGCTCAACTTGGTCTGCGGAGGAGTAGAGAGCTCCTGAGCGCTCCCCGGCGCGAGAGGGAGGCGAAGCCTTCCGCCCCACCTTGGGGGGTGTTCCCGGAGGCGATCCCTCGCCGCGAGGCGGCCGCCCGGGAGCTCCCTTCCCCTTCGCCAGAACAGGAAGTGATGCACGGGCCCCCATTTTCCGCCCAATCATGGCCGCCGTCTTATGCTCCGCCGCCGGCGGGTCGGTATTTTTACAGGCGGCTTTGGCAGGGGGGACGTTTGTCTCATGAGGTACATCCACCACCTGGGATAGATAGTGGCCCCTACGGGATATTTCCTGTACAAGTAGCTATGGGCCAGGGACGTAATGCATGGGAGCCTTTTGAGATAAAGCAGATTAGAGAACTTAAAAATGCAGTTACAACCTTTGGGCCGACTGCGCCTTACACCATTGCCATGCTGGAGAACCTGTCTTCTGGGCCCCTCACCCCCGCGGACTGGATTCAGCTGGCAAAGGCGTGTCTGCCCTCGGGTAGTTACACAGAGTTCTCTGCCGAGCAGGCTGAGAAAAACGCCGGTCGAGAAAATGGGAGCTGGGGATTTAGCTCAGCGGCATAAGCGCCTGCCTTGTAAGCAGGCAATCGCCAGTTCGATCCCTGGTACCAATAAAAAAAAAAAAAAAAAAAAAAAAAAAAAAAAAAAACGAAAAAGATAAAAATAAAAAATAAAAAAATAAAAAACAAAAAGGGGGAGTAGGCCAAGGCCTGGCCCCAAAGGCACGATTATCCATGGCACTATTCACACACAATTTTTTAAATTTAAATAATGATAATTGCTCCCCAGCCGTGGAGCACTGCAACCCTTCCCCCAACCATAAAGGGTGGGTGAAGTGGAAAGATGTCCTGACAGGACAATGGATGGGCCCGGATCCAGTGGTCAGCTGGAACCGAGGCGCGGTTTGTGTTTTCCCACAGGAATCGGGACGAGAACCACTGTGGGTACCGGAGAGACTGACACGGGCGACAAAGCCCTCGACTGAAGATCAGACCTGCCCTACCGGAGATCCATCACAGACCAACCAACAAGATGAATAGAAATAGCGGTAGCCCGAAATGGACAAGAAGATCCTCAGGCATATGCATGGCTCGCTCGCCTAGCCTACGACCGAGTCTAGGGGTGGTGAGCTTCCCACACTCCTCCTCTAAAAAATTATGACATAGCTGGGTAGGAGAGTCAATGACGGGTAAGAGCGTACTCCCCCGGTGCGACTCAACCTAAGCCAGGCCCTACCCCATCCTGCACGTAAGCCGCTGGACTGTTAGATGCTGCCCAGGTCTAAATTTCTCTCCGAGGGGATTTCTTTACGGAGAGGAAATGAGTGCAAGCTTGTGTGCATCCATGTTCCGTCCAGTTTGTGCCTGGCCCTAGAAAAAGGACGAGGGCCTCAGGGCCTTGGCAGACCATGGGACGGCCGACCAGGGTCTAAGCCAAGGACCTACGGTGGGCCTACGCATAGGGCATAAGCCTCTGCACCCAGTCCAGGAAGGGCTACGATGCGCATATTTATAAAAAAAAATAAATAAATAAAAAAGGGGGAGATGTTGGGAGCCGCAGCCCCGAGCCCGGTCGCCTCACTTGGCGGACGTGAGGCCTGTAGTAAAGAGTAAAGCCTGAGGTAGATTACCCCTCCCATCGAGCACGTTAGTTTCCTGCTTACTGCGTAAGCAACCCGCTCAACAATATAGTCTGCCTGGCAACTGATGATGTTAGCCAATCAGCTTGCCTTGCTTACTTTAACATGATTGGACACTGTATCCGTATATATACTGGTGCCACCCCTGGGGGGGAAGAAGAAGCCCGGAAGTAGAAGCCCAGAAGGAGCCGCGGGGAGCGGACCAAAGGAGGCTTCGGCTGGGAGCGATCCCAGGGCAGGCTGTACGGAGAAGGAAAATAAAAGAAAAGGTTGTCCACTGCCAGACTTTGTCGTGTGTCCTTCCTGCCGGCCAGGAGCGACATCGACAGAGAAGAGTGAGACTGCTAACACTTATTGACTTCTAAGTCCTAGTTAGGTACTTTATGTGGATTAACTCATTATATCTTCATTTTATAGATTAATTGAGAAATAGGATAGTTAAATGTCTTGCCTAAAGGCACATAGCTAGTAAATGACCAGACCTCTTCAGAAGTAATTGCTGCCTCCTCTGGGCCCTGCTACAGAGCCAGCACTCATTCCACTTGTTAGTAAGTGATTCATACATCTGTTCATTCCTACATTATAAAGACTATAACTTTCTTAAGCAGGAGGACTGTATTCCCATGCATCTGTGTCGCTGGTGTCTTGCACAGTGCCCTGCACATAGTAGGCCTTAACCAGATGTTTGCTGAGTTGAAATTATGTCTGTACCTCCCACCACTCTTAGTTCAGAGTTTAACATAGAGATATTCAGGAAATGCTAAATAAAGAATACTGAACTTATTTCTAAATGTCCTCTGGTCTTTCGTCTTAAGGTCTTGTAAATGCTTTGAGCTGTGTAAATAATGGTTGAATTGAAAGACTAGCTGATCTTTCAGATGTTCAGAATCAATTCTGTGGCTAAACAGAAAGTCCAAAGCCATTGTGTGTAATTGACCAATGGGCAACTTGTAACACTCAGCTGAATTGAATCAGCATGGTGCTGGATGTACAGGGCCCACCTGAGGATTGTTGCCAACAGCATAAAAAGAGAACTGGAGAGGAAGACAATGTGTTGTTGATTCTCCTGGAGAAACTTGTCACACTGGCTTTCCTGGTACAAACTCAGCTGTTATCAAAGGAGCCCAGGACCTCGATGTTGCTGAAGATATCTATGGTTCTTTTCAGAGGTATTTTCGTCTTACCTTGAGCATTGCTTTCTGGGTCCAGTACAGACCCCTCAGGCTGCTGGCACAGATCTTTCATCCCACTGACACAGATCTTCAATCTTCCACCACCGAGCTCTGGGCCTTCCCAGTGCATATCTTTGATACAGACTTGCATGAGACATTGTTGTGGCTTTAGGCCTCCAGCGGGATTCATGGAGAACACTACCATGGGTTCTACATCTTCAGCTGGATTCTTTGGATCGCTAGTATGTGGCCAGATCTTTTGCATTTGACTTGTTGGATGAATATTGTAAAATAACCCTATCAACTATGTGTCTTGTATTAAATCTTTTCCCTTCTCACAGACCTGAAGAAAAGCACCCGGGGTGGGGTACATGAAAGGGCCAGTTGGAAAGCAGTACTGTAGAAGATATGCATAGATGAAGGAATCACAGTTCAGAGACATTAACTTGTCCAATATCACAATTAGTATGTGGAACAGCTGAGATTTAGTGCAAGTCCAGGGAATAAGCTTAAATTTATGCTGTATGTTACATAAAAACTGAGAAGCTGGGCATGATGGTGCCTGCCTGTAATACCATCACTCTGGGAGGTTGAAGACTGTAGTTCTAAGCCATGCCAGGCAACTCTATGACTTAATGAGACCCTGTTTCAAAAGAAGGGTAGAGGCCAGGCGTGGAGGCACTCATCTGTAATCCCAGCATTCAGGAGGCTGAGGCAAGAGGATCACTGCAAGTTTCAGGCCAGCCTGGGCTACAAAGTGAATTCAAGCCAACTGAACTGCACAGTAAAAGCCTACCTCCAAAAATTAAAAAAAAAAAAAAAGGTTGGAGCACTAGAGATGTTGCTCAATATAAAGGTTCTGAGATTATTCCCCAGTATTGATAAGAGTAGGGGAGTGCTTTCAGGCTGTAAAGGAGAAGGCTGGGATAGTACAAGTGCCATAAGACGTGACAAAATCATTGACAGAATGAGATGAGAATGAGAGGGATGAACCAATGGATAGAAATTCTTCAAGCATCAAAGTACTGAAGGGTCATTCTAAAAAATAAAGGTCTACAGAAAAACAGAAGCGCTGTCTCCAAGTGAGTCTAATGTAATCATATATACACTTTAAAAGCAAGAAGCTTTCTCTGGCTGAAGGCAGAAGGCTAATTCCAAGACTGGAAGCAAATGTAGCAGCACTGTTGGCTTTGAAGATGGAAGGGCCATGACAAGGACTACAGAGCAGCACCCAACTGCTAAGAACTCTGGGATGACACCCAGAAAGGAAACAGGGACCTCACTCCTGCAATCTCAGGACAGCGAAACCTGCCAGGGGTGTGAATGAGCTCAAAAGCAGATTTTTTCCTACAGGCCTCAGATAGGTTTCAGCCCAGGTGACTCCTTGACTTGAGGCTATGAAAAACTAAACAGGAAATCCAGCTGGTCCCACCCAGACTTCTGACATTCAGTGTAAACTAATAAATGCATGCTGCCTTAAGCCATTAATTTGTGGCAACTTATTATGCAGAAAGAAAAAACTAATACAATGGTGAATAAAGATACTCTTATGGAATACTACTATCAATAAAAAGGGACAACAGACAGCTACACATATTTATGTGACTGAATCTCAGAAACACTGAATCAACGAAAGAATCTAGGCCATAAAAAGCAGACACAGTACAGAAAGACAAATCTGAGTTGTGATGATACAAAGCAGACAGAAAGACAATTATAATTTAAGGTGACAAGAAGGTTAGGGTTGGATTGTATAGGTTGACTATCCCATCCCCTTCCTGTTGACTTTTCTGCCCCAACCCACATCAGCCCAGCACTGGAGGCCAGAGAGGCCCATTCCCAAAACACACCACTGTATATTCATTTCTTTTCCGCTGCTCTAACAAGACCAAGGACTCCATTTACTCCTCATGTGGGCAAACAGTCTATCAACAGCACAGTCTGAAACATATCCCAAAAGGAACAGCCAAATTTTCAAAAATCTATTCTACATAGATTTCTCTCATCAAGTTCCAGATGGGAAAGGTCCAGCATGTGCAATAATTTCATACTATTTTTTAAAGTATTTAAAATAAGTCGCAGGAAGAAATAGTGCCTGAAGAACCTGGGAATCTTGACCTTCCCTGCCTTACTAAACAATACAGAAGTCAAACATTTTTGAATGAAAGATTTGTAGCTCTGATATGAACTGCCTCCTCAGGACAGACAGTGGGCAGGTTTGATGGCAGGAAAGAAAGAGATGGTCAGGAGGCTACTGCAATGGTCTGGTGAGAGTAGGTCTAACTTGTGGTTCCACCACCTACTTGTTGCATGAACTTGGCCAAGTTACTAAAACTTTCTAAGCTTCAACTTCTTCAACTGCATAACAGGAATTATAGCAATAACTTCATAGGACTAGAAGATTGAATTCAATTATCAAAATTTAGTATCTGTCTTAGTTACTTTCTCATTGCTGGGACAAGATATCTACTACCCACAAGTTAAAGGTGGAAAGCTTTGTTTTAGATCACAGTCTATAAAAGTTTCACTCCATAGTTGGGTGGCTCCAAGGCAAGGTGAATGGCAGAAAAGCATCACAGAGGAGAAACAGTTCATGGCAAGTCAAGCAGAAGGCAGCAAGCAGTGAGCCTCCCTTCCCCTTTTATTCCACTCAGGTTACAAACCTATTGGTTGGTACCACCTATACACAGGGTGGGGCTTCCATTATCCACACCCAGAACTGTGCTAAACCAGTCAGTGGACTAATTTAGTTATTACATACCCACATACTGTAGATTCTAGATCTAGCCACCTTTGAAAAGCTCTCCCTCCTCGATGAGTACATGAGGTTTTGGGGGGCAACTAGATAAAAAAGGCATAACAAGCATCTTTCACAGAGTAGGTTCTTCTATGCTGGTTCACTTGCCTCTTTGTCTATTTTCTATTTAATGGCCTGGGGAAACAAAAAGGGAAGTGTGAAATGGTTGAGAAATGGGGAAACACGTTCCCCAGATCTCTGTCTTTCATTTTTAACAAATTATAAGAAAAAACATTGTTCTAAATTTTCAGAAGCCTGCAAACGTATTAGCAATGACAATTTTACTAGAAAATGAAACATTTTTGTGTCTATCAATTAACATAATGATTTCAGATCCCCAAATTCACTTTTGAAAGCATTGTATGGCCGGGAGAACATGGCGGATAGATAGCAGCAGCTATGGAGGCTCTCTGAGATACCCTGCTTAGAATCCAGGAATGGGGAGGTGTGAGGAGTCCTAAGCAAGGGGAGATACATCCTGCCGACCCAGGAACGAACTAAGCTAAGAGAAACCAACTGGAAACGCAATCCCAGTGCTATAACAGGAACAGATAAAATCTCATCACAGAAGCTGGATCCCGCACCATTGGAAGCCATGATTTGAATTTCCTGCTACCGCTGCTGTGTCCAAATCGGCACGGCAGGGAGAGAGATGCGCAAAAACTCTTGAGAGTAGGAATAGGCGAACAAAGTTGAGAACGGGATTGGCAGGGAGCCCTGCATTGACCTGCAGTGAGTGAGCAGAACGGGGACCTTTCCATAGAGTAGGAGGCTTCAGCAAAGGATATACTGGGACCAGGCAGACTTGCTGGAACACGACGCTGCAGTAACCTTAGTTGCATATTCCCCTCTCAAGCGGGATTGGTGGGGAATGCCTGGCCTGGGTGATGCCACTGACTAAGACCCAGTAGGCTAGCGCAAACCAGGTCCCAGCACCTGGAGATGCACTCTAGCAGTAAAGCCTTCCATAGGTTGACCTGGAGGGGCGAGGCCAGTGGAGGCTGCCCAGGTCTGTGTCTCCCTAGTACACTGCAGTGGGCAGGAACACCTAGCCGGCGCAATTCAAACAAACTTTAACAGACAAAGAGAAAAAAAAAACTGGGCCTCCTATATTCGCTTGTATGGAAGGAACAAAAAGTATGGGAAGAGGAAGCAACAAGAAAGGGTCCTCAGGCCCCAATCCTGAGAACACTGATCCAGGAAAGGTGAATGCAAAGGAGAATGAGGAAAGAAAACATGCAATATCAGACACGGCACCAATAGACATAAAGCGATATCTCTGGAGCTCATAGATGAGTTCAAAAGAGAAGTATT